CTACGAGTACCCCGCGTATATATATATATAATACTCGTATATGTTACAATATAATTGACAATAATACATTACGATAATTATAATGAACAATAACTTTCGATATTAGAGAGTTTTTGCAATACTGTTAATCCAGATGCGGTGAACATTAAGGATATCGATCAAGTACAATAAATTTTTCTCTAGAGCAAAAACATGAAAAGTGAAAAAGTTTATGTATGTATGCCTGTACATACATACAAAAAGTTTTTACTTTTCACATTTTTGTCGTAAGGAAAAAGATCGATGACTATGGACACGTTACATTCTTCTTAGCAACTATTTAAGAAAAGGATAACGTGACTTTAGCGAATTCACGTTATTGAAGAAACTCTATTATTATCTTTGCAGCTTTATTATTGATGCATCTTTTAAGTGCATTTTCCAGGTTTATTCCACTAAAAAATAATACAAACTAATAATCAAATATATGACGCGGTAAAGTAAAATTCTATATTAAAATAATAAAATTGAAAATCTCAATTGGACTCTCACTACTTAAAATAATAACAATACCAATTTAAGACTAATAAGAGTCGACACAGGACGAGGGGGGAGATGCGTTTTAATGTGGAATGATGACATAACTCCAATAACTTCGTGATGTCTTCTTTATTCAATATGCCTTCTTTATTCACATGTTGAATGAAGAAGACATCACGGAGTTATTGGAGTTAAATCATCATTCAACATTAAAATTATTACTCTTATTGGCCTTAAATTGGTATTGTTATTATTCTATATTTAAAGATATTATATTCTGTAGCACATAAGCGTGGTCAATAGCTCTTTGAAGGAAAACCGAATGTATCATGGTAATAATAAAGTAATATTTTAAGAGTACATTACATCCTGTAAAATGTATTTACTTATTAATATGATGTACGAGGTCTGTTCAAAAAGTATCGCGAATTTTGTGTTTTTTCAAAAATTATTTATTTATTCATGAATATCTATTTTGTCCCCTTCAAAGTAATCCCCATCAGATATTATACACTTGTGCCAACGTTTTTTCCAATCCTCGAAGCACTTCAAAAAATTATTTTTTGTGATCTTGTTCAGCTCCTCCTTCGATGCCGTCTTTAT